ACTGAGCCTACAGCACAGGGGTACGGGGGAGAGGGAGGACTGTGCCGTCAGCTGAGAGCAGTCCGAGGCACACATAGCAACACCCAATCATTTGGAGCCCCATTTCCGGGTGCCCCACAGAGCCGTGCATTTCACGTGGGCCTGGGGATGGCCCGGCAAACAGCCCTTTCAAAGCAAAGTATCCTTCAATCATAACAGCAGGGGCACTGGACACCAAGAGAAAGGACACAAACCAGTCTCCCTGCCGTCAGCTGAGAGCAGTCCGAGGCACACATAGCAACACCCAATCATTTGGAGCCCCATTTCCGGGTGCCCCACAGAGCCGTGCATTTCACGTGGGCCTGGGGATGGCCCGGCAAACAGCCCTTTCAAAGCAAAGTATCCTTCAATCATAACAGCAGGGGCACTGGACACCAAGAGAAAGGACACAAACCAGTCTCCCTGCACATTTTTCTTGTCTGCAGCTTAGGCAGGGCTAGCTTCTGCAGACACATTCCCAGGGCTGGGGATTCCCTCCCCACTGGGCTCCAGAGGCTCTCTACTTACCAGTCCCCCTGTTCTTTGTTCCAGCTCCCCATCGGAAGCCCCCCCTTCAGGGTTACACACTAGGACGTTCCACCGGAGTTACACACCACGCAGCTGGTCTGAGAACGTCGGCAGGTAAATTTCAAAGGTCATGACGCCTGTATTGGTCCAATCAGTGCCAGTGAATGGGGCTGGGCAAGTACCTCCTGCTGGAATTCGCCCTCGGTGACCATGCAGCACAATAACAGATGGATTTAGTCTTTGACTATCACGAGCACTTCCCCTCACCCTTCACCCCTCCATGAGAGAGCAGACCCATCCCGGATGAGAATCCTAGAATCCTAGAACGGGAAGGGACCTCGAGAGGCCATCAAGTCCAGCCCCCTGCCCTCATGGCAGGACCAAGCACTGTCCACATCATCCCTGATAGCTGTCTGTCTTACCTGCTCATAAATATCTCCAGAGATGGAGATTCCACAACCTTCCTAGGCAATTTATTCCAGTGTCTGACCATCCTGACAGTTAGGAAGTTTTTCCTAATGTCCAACCTAAACCTCCCTTGCTGCAGTTTAAGCCCATTGCTTCTTGTCCTATTCTCAGATGCCAAGGAGAACAATTTTTCTCCCTCCTTATAACACCCTTTTAGATACTTGAAAACCGCTCTCATGTCTCCTCTCAGGCTGTCTACACTACAAGGTTTTGCGCAGCTGCTTTTGCGGAAAAACTTGCCAGCTGTCTACACTGGCCACTTAAATTTCCACAAGAACATTGACGATCTCATGGAAGAAATCAGTGCTTCTTGTGGAAATACTATTCTGCTCCCGTTTGGGCAAAAGTCCTTTTGCGCAAAGCTTTTGCACAAAAGGGCCAGTGTGGACAGCTCAGATTTGTATTGCGCAAAAAAGCCCCGGTCGCGAAAATGGCGATCGGGGCTTTTTTGCGCAAAAGCGCGTCTAAATTGGCACGGACGCTTTTCCGCATAAAGTGCTTTTGCGGAAAAGCGTCCGTGCCAATCTAGACGCTCTGTTCCGAAAATGCTTTTAACAGAAAACTTTTCCGTTAAAAGCATTTGCGGAAAATCATGCCAGTCTAGACGTAGCCAAGGAGTTTTTGAGCAAGAACTCTTCCGCAAAAGGCTTCTTGTACAACAACCCTGCAGTGTAGACGAAGCCTCTGTCTTCTCTTTTCCCAACTAAACAAGCCCATTTCTTTCAGTCTTCCCTCATAGGTCATGTTTTCTAGATCTTTCATCATTTTTGTTGCTCTTCTCTGGACCTTCTCCAGTTTCTCTACATCTTTCTTGAAATGTGGTGCCCAGAACGGGACACAGTACTCCAGCTGAGAAGGACCCAAGCTGTCAGTTCTGGAGCATTCTCTTTCTCCCACAGCACAGACAGTTCATTGCAACCTTCCCCCACCATGTGCTTCATCCTTGACTCGGAAAGGCCTTTTGGTTCATTTAGACCCCGTGTTGCAGCTGAGGCTTGGAGCAAAGAAATTCAGCGATCCCAGCTGCGATGGAGGCTTCGTCACATGGGTACTTGTCCAGGAGGAAGCCGAATGAGACCCCCAAACTCATTCCGACCAAACAGCAAGCCAAAGGCAAGTCACTGCTGACCTGGGCTCAATCCACATTTCAAGTCACAAGTGCTGAGAACCATCTGCTCAGCCGCTGTGATTGCTTCCTTCCTGCTCTAGTTCCTGATGTCTGCCACACGCACTGTCACTTTGCATTGCTGCCCGCTGCCGCAGCAGGATCTGACGGCCAGCAGGGTCCATGTGGCGGCAGCAGGCAGGAAAATGCAAGCAAAGGGGAAGCAACAAGTGTAGCAGGGATGGGGAAGCATCCCCTAACAAGCATGCGAACATATGGTCCCCTTTGCAAAGGCCTGGGCACATTCATTTGCACCGGATATAATGAGAGCTGAGGGCCCCACAGCTTTGCCAGAACCTGTGCCTGACTAACTATGGGAGAGACGCCGGGCTCCGGACTCACATTCTGGTGGTGAGCAAAGTTCTGACGAAGAATTTCCCGGTTTTGTTGTTGTTAAATACAGCTGGCATTGCCGACTGCAGCCCTCGCTCAGCTTCCCTGACCCGTCTCTGCAGCAGGCAGATTTCCCCTGGTGCTAAGCATCGGACCATCCCTGTGGTTCTGATCAGAGCAAGTGGGGCCCAGCGCCTTTGAAGATCAGGTGTAAATTAGGGCTGGTCTGTCATCTGGAGTTTGGAGGGGCTGGTCCTGGCTGGGAGAGGAAACAGGCTGAGAGAGAGACAATGTTTCTCTACAAATCAGGGCACTGATGATGCCAGTTGGCAGCTAATGTTCCCAGATTCCAACCCCCAGAACTGCTGACCAGCTCTCTCACCTAACTGAGTCACAAGCTTCTGGGATTTTAGAATCATAGAACCCTAGAGCTGGAAGAGACCTCAGGAGTCATCGAGTCCAGCCCCGTGGCCTGGGCAGGACCAACCCCAATTAAATCAACCCGGCCAGGACTTTGTCAAACCAAGACTTAAAAACCTCCAGGGATGGAGATTCCACCCCCTCCCTAGGGAACCCATCCCAGTGCTTCACCACCCTCCTAGGGAAATAGTTTTCCCTAATATCCAACCTAGACCTTCCCCACTATAACTTGAGGCCCTTGCTCCTTGTTCTGCCATCCATCACTACTGAGAACAGCCTCTCTCCATGCTCTTTGGAACCTCCCCTCAGGAAGTTGAAGGCTGCTATCAAATCCCCCTTCAATCTTCTCTTATGAAGACTAAAGGTCACAGGAGAACAGATGTTTCACTTAAGGCCCCAGCTCCTGGGATCATGTGATTCTTTGAGAGTCCCAGCTGCCATGGACGGACAAGGTTTCTATCCCGCTTAGGGGAGGAGAAAAGCTTGAAATGGGGTGAACAAGGAAAGGCTCCAGTAGCAAGACCGCCCCCGAGGATTATTTCTTTCAATCCCCTGATTGCTGAGGCCTGAGTGGTGAGTTCTGAAGGCTCGGGGTCACCGGTACTGCCAGAGCTGTGAAAAGGGGAGCGCGATGGGTGGGACAATTCTGATGCAAACAAGGAATGCAGCCTGCATGTCATGTGGAGGGGGCTGCTGAGGCCACGCTGGCTTTTGGGCGGGGGGCTCTGTCTGTCCCTACTGCCGAGCAAGCTCTGTTAAAACAGCCACAGCTGGCAGGACAGGATTCCTAGCTCAGCTGCAGCGCTCTGAGCTGGATCAGGCCAGGCTGGTTTCCACCCACCCCCAGGGGATCTGGCCCGGGCACAGGGAGTGGAGCCAGACAGAGGCCCAAGGAGTACATGGCTGTGACAGCACCCGCCATCCCTTTGCCAGGCAAATGCGCCTTATTCCACGAGAGCAGGCAACAGGGGACTCCAGCCTGTGGAAGCAAGGCAGCCTCGGCAGGGGCCCCTGGCCGCCTCCAGGAACAAACCCCCCTCTCCAGAAGTGAATGAAGAAACCCGGCCTGCTCCTGTTGCCTCAGCAACTGGGGCCGTCTGCCCGGCTCACGTCCCCTGCCCACTGACAGGCAGGACTAAGCAGCCCTCCTTCCCCCGCCAGGGCTCTGGCACAAGGCCCTGCAGGCTCTGGCTGTGCAGGAGTGGGGGGGAAGGTTGGAGCCACCGGCCTTTCACCTCTGGGATTGATGGAGATGTCAGGGGAAAGTGCCTTGTCTGAGGCTTGGCATAAAGCCACCGGGGGGGCAGTGGGTCAGGCCTGGGGTGCACGGAGGGAGCTGGGGCCAAGGAGGGAGGCCAAGAGGCAGCCCAGGACTGGAATGCCTGGGGCTGAGGTCACTGGTGGGACAGAGCCAGGGGGTTCTGATAGCCATGACCTGCCAGAGGGGATGGGACCGCCTCTGGTGCACGCTGGCATGTGGCTGCCCTTGGGCCATAACCATCCTCACTTGTGCCCTCTGCCACAGCTGCCTGCCAGGGGCCAGTTCCTGCTTCCTGGCACCCCTCATGCATTTCCTAGCTGCCGGGCTAAGGTCCAGCAGAGTGGGGAGGATCGCAAGGTCAGTGTAAATGGCTCGCGAGCTGCCTTCCCCTGCAGCCTGATTGGCTTCCCAGGCCTCCGATGCAGCATATTGACTGCAGCAGCAGCTCAGCAAATGGCCTTGTTTGGGGGGGCCTGTGAGCAGCTGCTTCTGGTCTGTGTCTTTGGGGAGCCTGCCAGGATTCCGGAGGCAGGCCAGAGAGGCTGATTCCACGTGGGTGTAAGGTCACCAGGTGTCCAGTATTGAACCGGACAGTCCCGTATTTTCACCTCCTGTCCGGTAAAAAAAATTCAGAAAATACTGGACACTTAAAATGTCCTAAAATGTCCAGTATTTTCTGATTTTTTCCTGCGAGGAGGCGAAAATCCCGGGTGCTTACCGGATTCCGCAGGGGAGCTGTCCGGCCCGGCGCAGGAAGGCAAGATGGCGGGCAGCCACTGGCAGCCTGTTAGGGCCAAAAAGCCTCAAAAAAAAAAAAAGCGTTTCTTAAAGGGGCCATGCTTCTTTTTTTTTCTTTTTTTTTTTGTTCAGTATTTTTTCAGAAACCATCTGGCAACCCTACGTGAATGCAGCCCACGTGTAGAGGCATGGGCTGGGCTGGGCTGTGGTGCAGGAAATGAGCAGAGCCCAGCAGGCAGTAACTGGGGGACACACCTCTTGGGTTTTCACCTCAGACGTGTGCCAGGGACCCTGCACAGCCACCAGGCAGCTCTCTGCCTGTCACAAGCCTTATGTCTGCTCGTGGGACTGGATACTCATAGACTGAACCTTCTTGCACTGTGCGTCCTCCAGGTTGTATCTGCTTCGGATCTGTAACCTGTAAGGAGCCCAAGAAGCACCGAGGCATGAGGGGACGGGGCCTGAACTCCGGATGGGGCCCCTGAAGAATAAGGGAGAGCATCCAGCTGGGGGAGACATTGCACTCTTGCCCAGGGCTGAGTTCAACTCCTCTCCACCTCAGCACATTTCCATTGCCCTGCAGCAAGGGTGGGGAACCGCAGGCCCAGGAGCTGGATGTGTCCCCCTGGCTTGCCTGGATCCAGCCCCTGAGGCTCAGGGCCCTCCCTGCACTGGCACCCAACCCACCTCCTCCCCCGAGGCTGGAGCCCACAAAGTCTGCTAGGCTGGGCCCCTCTAGGCTGTGGTGTGTAAGGGGAATGTGGGGAGAGTCTTTCTCCTTCTCTGTCAGGGGCCACGTCCGGGAGGGTTTTGTGTTTTCAGGGTTGGGTTTTTTTGCTTCTCACTTGTGTGAGAACTGAATCCCAGCTGAATTTTCTGTGGCTCAGCGGCCCCGACCCAAAAAAGGTTCCTTGCCCCTGCCCTGCAGGATGCAATAGGCCGCTGTATTTCGGGGGACCCAACTGCCCGGTGCATTCCTGGTGAACAATTCAGCCGCTGAAGTTAGCACCATCATTCTCCCTGCTTCGCCTGTGGATGGGCCAGTCAGGTGGCTCACCCGCTGGGCCCTTGCCAGCGAGTTTTTTCTGCTGCTCCCCATCCCACTGCAAGCCAGGGCGGCTCCCTGCCAGCCCGCAGAAACCTGCACTGACCTCACCAGCTCTCTGGCCCAGCAATAGTTTTACAAGCGTTTGCTACATTTTCTCCGGGCAGCAGCCAGCACTTAGCTTGGCGCGTGTCTAAAGAGCGGAATAAAATGGGGTTGAAATCACTTTGAGGCAAATACAGTGCCCAGGAAATTGACAAGAGGCTTTCCATTGGCTTCATAGGGCTGTGGCCAAGGCTGTGCCTTCTAAGGCTGTCTTAGAGCCCCTGGTGACAGTGGTGGTGAAGTGGGGATCAGGTCACTGAAATAGATCCATACCCAGTGTCACACACCAGGAGCTCTCTCATGGATGCTCCGCGCAGGAAGTGGGTGCAAGGACTAGCACCCCCAAGCCAGCCTGAAGGTACGTCGTGTGGGCAACAAAAGAAGTGAAGACATCGTCGTCAGGCTAGTGAGCCAGCTACATGCCAAGGGTCCAGGCTGGGCTTGCACGGTCTGCATGGACGCAGGACGAGGGGGAGAGCGGAATCTCCCTGCGAATGGGGGACAGAGGCATAGGCGGACGAGAGAGGGCAGGAGGCAGCTTGCCCCAAGCTGGGAAAGGGAATCCTGGCAGATTCTGGGCAGCAGATGCCCAGCGTTCTATGCGCCACAGGGCAGCAGATGCCCCGTGCACCAATGTCCCCTTCACTTCCTACCCTGGTGCCAGTGCCCTGTCCTGTGCTCTGTCCCAGCAGCTGCTGCACCTGCTTCTGCTGCTGCCCAGAAGGGGTGTGGCTGGAAGGCAGGACCAAGCAGAGAGCTGATCTCCTGTGCTACGGGGCTGGAAGCTGCCCTAGCACCGTCTCTGCTCCGTTCCCGCTTGAGAGTGGAATCACAGCCTTGGCCCTAAGT